AAGTCCCAAGAGAGGCACTACAGCTTATGACAAATTCTCCCAGGGTGACGGGGGCAGCATTCGAAGAGGAGACTAGAATGACAGACACACCAGGTTCTGAGGTGCTGGCCAGCAATTGAGAGAATGGACATAAGCCTCCTTAGAGGTAACCACATAAGAGAAAATACTTTGGTATTATAATCCAAGGACTTTAATGCAGGGCTGAAAGACAGAACTAAAAAGTCATCTGAGACAGGGAGGTCACCCATAAACTGACAACAGCAGAAAACCAGCATCACCCCTAAGTGGGGGCAGGGCGGGATCCAGGCATTTCTAGAGGTCATGACTGTGTCATAAGACTGCAATCACAGTGGGCCAATTCTCCCTGTTGGTAAGTGACAGCATGGTGAAGAAGCACCTGCCACTGTACAGTGGAAGGGAAGGTATAATTTCATCTCCAATCCCCAAAAGAGAGTCTCACAGGAGCCCAGAAGGACAGCTAACAGGGGATTGGTCCTTAAGATCCAGGGAGAGCAGAGAGAGGGAAGAATAAATCTGAGGGCAAAGAAGTCCAAATCTGCCTCACTTTTCTTCGGTGTATTTAACTCGGCACTCAAACTTGAAGATGCAGACACACCTCTTGGGGATTTTATTAACATCCACATTCTGATTCTGGAAGCTTGGAGAGGGGCCTGAGAGCTGCATATCTAGCTAGTTCGCAGATGATGAGGATGATACTGACCCACAGACCACACTTTGAACAGCAAGGATCTGACTTAGATGAATGATGAGCAGGGCTATAACCAAAATGGAATTTAGACATATTCCCTCCCAGAATGAAAACCCAGTCACATATGGTCCTTTCCAACAAGAATGAGAACAGTAAGATGTTACATTTAGGCAGGAGCATCACGAGGGCAGGACTCCTGTCTGCACAACCCTCTGTGTGATTTTTCCCACCAGGTGGTCAGCTTTGCATAGTTCAGGGCTGTTACGGGCTGAATTGTGTCACCGCAGAATCTTATGCTGAAGTCCTAAACCTCAGTATCTTAAACGTGAGTGTATTTGGAGATAGTGCCTTTACTCAAGTTAAAATTAATTAAGGTAAGTAAAATTAGGCTGTTAGGATGGAACCTGGCTAATGTTCTTAAAAGAAAAGATTAGGCCATGTGTGGAAATTGAGAGGAGGGGGTGGCCATATGCAAGACAAAGAGAGGTCTTAGGAGACAGGAAATCTGCCAGTACCTTGATTTTGGACTTCTAACCTCCAGAACTGTGAGCAAAGAAATCTCTGTTGCATGAGCCACCCAGTCTGTAGCATTCTATCATGGCAGTCCTAGAAGGTTAATGCAAAGGTTTCTATTTTGTCTCTAACAGTACCTTCAATTATCCTACAAGTTGCACTGCATGCATGCTTTGTGAGAGGCAGAGTTCCAAGAGTTGGTTCATAAGACAATAAAGACACAGTCCTTGGCCAGATCCATTCCTGTTCTGTGTGTACGTGTTCACAGAAAGGAAGACACTGTATCGCCTAATTCAGGCGATGATGAATACTGAGACAAGTAAAACCAAACTCTGCAAAAGCACACAGAAAGAAACATTTCATCCTAAATGGGAAGGTGAGGCTGATCAAGGAGGACTTCAAGGTAGATTCTGATGGGAAACCGCCTCCTGAAGAATGAAGCAACACCTGAAGAATGAAGAAACAAAGGCAAAGGCCAAGAGACTCCAAGAAGTCCCACTACCCAGTGCACTCAGGGACAACCCAGACATCTGGCAGGGTGCAGTGGGGATATCAGGAATATTAGGAGCAGAGAGACTGTGATGGGACAAATAAAACTGAAAGGAAGCTGGAGCCTTTAGAGGCCAAGCAAAGGAGTTTTGATTTTAGAAAAAGAAGATTAATGAAAATGAAAAAGGTCAATAAATTAAGGGGCAGGAGAGTGGACACAAAGATTAGGAACAGTGTGGAGGACACTCCAATGCTCTTGCTATCTAACTACCTAAGACCTGCCTTTTCAAGATAAATATACATTCTACTGTACCTTACTTTAAGAATAACTCAGTCTTTTATCACCTCTGACCTTATGAACTTGGATATGAGAAAGAAGTTTACAGCCAGGTGATTTCCAAGCTGGGAACAAGGATGTTACAGGGAGGGAGTGTCAGAACCCGGGGAATCTGAAAGACTGCCACCTTAGCTCCAAGTTTCAAGGTCTACAGGTCCAGTCACTACCACCAAGGTTGCTGCCAGGCCTGCTGCACCTTTTGCAAGAGCCTATTCCCACACAGGTGTCTTTCACTTTTCCTCTGCCCCACTCTCCTTGAACAGGTTCTTGGATTTCACTCCTCCAGAGCAAAGGGAGTCACAGCCTACATGCAAAAAGAAGGGAACAAAGTTACTCCTTTCTTTTACACAGCCCAGAATCCAGGGTCTGGTGATTTCCAGGAAAATTTAACAGACTTTAAAGAGTAATTCAGACTTCAAGGACCCTTTATCCTACATATTTTTAGACTCCTACCCTGCATTAGAGGGGTTTCCCCTATATTCCTGAAGCATCTTAAGTTTCTGAAGTAAAAGAGGAAATAGACCATATGGTACAGGGAGTTGCCACTGGGCTGAGTGAGGTTTATGCAGCACTACTGGAAAAATTAACTGACAGACAGATGAACCTAGAAATACAGGAAAGGATAACATAAGCCACACAGTTACAAACCCATCGAATAATGGTCTCCAAAAAGAGTATTTTCCAAAAAGTCATTTCGGTAGTCCTCTTCTTCACCTCAGCCTCAGGCACTGTCTTCCAATAAAAGAGGAAGACAGCATTTAAAATGTCAAACATGAACAGAACACGGCTATAGATTTAAAGTCCAAATACCAGCAGAGAAATGTAAAACAGGCTTGCAAGGTTGAGAAAAGTGGAAATTTTGAAACAGCATTTGCCTTTTTCATAACCTTTAACACCTACTGTGTATCACACTTTTTTTTTCCTTCTCATCTGAAAAGTCGCAAAAAATAAAAATAATAAGAATGATCAAAAATAGGATTGGAAGTGGAGAAGGATTTAACATCATATTCCCAAATTATCTTATGAAAAAAAAGTGCAAAGTTCCAGAGTTTCACCACCATGACTGTCAATGTAGCTACCCTTAATGGAGACTTTATAAAAACCCCTGCTATGGTGACAAGCAGATACTGGAGTGGCCATGGAAGAGATGAGGCTTAAATCCTCCCACTTATCACTGCATTACTTTCTGTGCTAACAGGCACTGTGCATACTAATGATGTTTCAGGTAGCTAACTGTGGATGTATTTTATCCTGAAATAGAGTAGATTTTGGTCTTCCTTCTTTGGCAAATGTCTTGAGGAAACTTGCATCATGTCATGAAAAGTCAAATGATTTGGGCCTCAAAGGCTGCAGCCCTACCTCTTAGGGTAGATTCTACACCTGACTATTCTGATACATGGGTGAATTCTTTGTTCCGTTTCCTATTAAAAAAAAAAAATAAAAAAAAATAAATCTCTTGTGACCAGTAGATAGCATAATGGATATGTCAAGGACTCACACATGGCTGATCGTGGTTTGAGTCCCAGATCCAGAAGCTTGAAACTCATGCCAGGTGCATGTGCATGTGTGCCCAAAATCCCAAGAGAAGAGGAGAAGGGGACCAAGGCATGGTCATTTCCCTGGGGAGTGATTTCTTGCTTTCTGTTTGCCTCTCTTGTGAGAGAATGCACTCTAGAGCAAAAATCTCCCCTGCCCCCCAAAAAATCTCTCAAAGAAAACACAGTAGAAGTACCTCAAAATAATGACATTATCATTATAATCAGGAGAAGAGAGAAGGAAAGGCTGAATCAGAAGCCCTCATTATATAGTGTATTCTGTAGCTGGAAAGAATTTCTCTGGGACCACAACCCCCTACTATCTAGCACAATCTCTGATCTCATGAGAAATAGTCTTTTTAACCCCAGAGCAGGCGGCGTTGCCCGAAGGGTACAAGGAGAATGTTACCTTACATAATGCTGACCCAGTTCTCTGAGGCAGTTGTTAGATGCAGAACTCAGCAGCTAACCCAGGCTTTTAGAAGTATGTCCAATGAAAGAGCAACCGGGTGTGCCATTTTCATGTGAGGGCAGTCCAGCTTAGGATTCTGCTAAGACACTCAGTTAAACCTCATCTATGAGAGCCTCACCAATCAATATTAGATGGAGATTCTAATCCTCTGGGAATGTTTCATCTCAACAGACCTCAAAAACAAACCTCGGATTCAATAGTCTCTGAATCATCTTCTCTCAGGCATAAAGTTAGACAGTTATGTCAAAGCACAAAATTACAATCTGAACCTCAAACCTGGTGTGGCTAACCCTTCATAAATGAAAGATATTTTCTACCAAAGCAGCACAAAATGGAAACATTAGGACTCTTGGATTTGGGAATCGGAAAAATAGAGGCCATTACTGACATGCTTTCACAGGAAGTGTGCCAGAAACGTTGACCATCACAATCTAGCACTTGAGACATGCAAAAAAAAAATTTGATGGGAAATTACTAGTTTTGAAGTTTCTGAAAGCTGTCTTTGTTAAGCAATAAAGCTAAAAGAAGTATTTTTTCATTTAATATTGGGTAATCAGAAAAGTCATGACGTATTTAGAAAAACAGAAAAAGATACCATGACTTTTCCAACAATCCAATGTATCATTTTTATACTGATTTTAACAAAAACGGAAAGACAAAGTAGAAACCTTTGAATATTAAATGGAATTCTGATATTTGCTGAATCAAAATGGAAAAACTCCCCAAAATAAAAACAATCATTTTAAATATAGACATAACCTGTGAATGTCAAAACACACAGCTTGAACATCTAATATCCCCCTTTCTTACTCTTCAAAATCATCCTGCAAGTCACTAACCAGCTCCATTGGTCTTACCTTAAGCCAAGCACACTAAAAGAAGAAAACAAGTTTTACCTATTCAAGCCATAATAGTAAAACTAAGACACCTTTTTAAAGTCCTTACTTTCAAAATATTCTGAGTTTCATTCCACTTATTTGTCCACTCCTTGGTCAATTCTTGAACCTAAAAAGTAAAATATACATATGTGATTACTACATAAAAAATTACTATGATTTTTCACCCAGAAAATTTCCAAATTCTTATATCTTATGGAAGGATATATTACATATATAAATAATGGAAGGATATACTAATAAATTTCTCTTATTTCTTTTCTTTTATTTTTTTTTAGTTTTTACTATAGGGCATGTACACTTGCCAGAGAGAGACAAAGAAGAACCAAAACAGGGAAAGCGGGAAATCAACTCCCCCAGGTGGGATGGCCACACTGCAATCCCCATATATAATTAATGGAAGGATATATTAATAAATTTCTCTTATTTCTTTTCTTTTCTTTTTTTTAGTTTTTACTATAGGGCATGTACACTTGCCAGAGAGAGACAAAGAAGAACCAAAACAGGGAAAGCGGGAAATCAACTCCCCCAGGTGGGATGGCCACACTGCAATCCCTTCTTCATTCTCCTCTCAGGATTTTGGGGACACACATACATGATTTTCAAGCTACCAGGTCCAAGACTCAAACCATGGAGTGAGCTATATGGGCTCTAGTGCCTTAACCTCCACACCGCCTGCTGGACCAGTATGTATTTTTAAATTATTGGGTTGTCAGAAGAGTCATAACGTATTTTTCTGTTTTTCTATGCAAGTGCATCATGACTTTTCCAACAGCCCAACAGATAGCAATCTCTACTCCTGATAGAACCATCACCAAATATAAATCAAGCAAGCTGACCTCATCCCACAACCTACAAAGGAAAGGACACACGGAACTCTGTCAAGCTGCCTAGAATTTTATATCTGTCTTTTTCAAGGTTATACTTAAACAGAAGCTGCCTTCCTAGATTATTAACCAATGCAAGCTCAAGAATGACAACATCCCATTAAAGGAGTTAATTTTTCCTGCCTATATTTCAGGTCCTAAGAAATAGTGATTTACTTTTCTTTCTAATTAGATGTAGTGATTAAAATACAAAACTGGATGCTGCAGTTTTCTTTTAGTAGATAATTTGTTTTTGTAGCTAATTAATAGGGTTTGTAAATCTCATTCTATCTTTAAAAAAGAAAGGAGTAGTTCTTAAATTGATTCTTTTAGTAAAAGCAAAAATCTTTTGATAAAAATCTGCTTCTTTCCAGGCTGCTATAACTTAAAAGGAGAAAAGTACCCAGCCATTGAACGTGGCACAATTGGAAAGTGCTTTTCAAAGTTAATAGAAATATTCTGCTAGTTCTATGAAACTTTTGAAAAGATCCTAGTGATTAATTCATTAAGAAGCGAAAAGAGGATCCAGACAGTGGCACGGCAATAAAGCCCAATACCCTGCATGGCTGACCCCATGGAAAGGTTCTGGGTTTATATCCAGAGACCTCCCTGAGAACACCAGGTATTTGCTTGCACATCACCCAGGGCTATCAGAAGCTGGGTGGACTGCAGCTTTGAGACCCAGGGGTGAGTGATATCTCTCGGTCTCTGTCTCACTCATGGAAGAAATACATTTTTAAAAAGAAGAAGAAAGAAATACTTGAACTGAGAGGTAGACAAAAAAAGTCATTTAAAATGTGTTTTATAGAAAGAATACACCTAGAGCTAACAAAGGAACACTGGCAGGGAAGAACTCATCTTTTCAAAGCCTTTTCCTTTCTGTTTCTTTCTTACTCCTGTCATCTCTCACTCCCAACAGCATGCACCATTCCATCCCCACCAATAAGTTACCCTATGTAATCTGGCCAAAATAAATGCACAGAAAGCATTTCTTTGAAGTCTCACTGCTAAGAGGAGGGTACCTTCCACATACTATTAAGAAATGGTCATTGGAAAGAACATTTGTATCAGCAACCTTAATGAGAGACAACATTTAGGGCCAGCCCATAGCCTCATGGTTAGGGGAGCTCAATCCTACATGGCCAACTGTGGTTCGAATGCTGGCCCCTAATGAGATTTATAGCCAGGCAGATGGCAAATAATTAAAAAGGATAAGCAAAAGCTAGATAAAAATTAAGCAAATTTTATTAACAAGAGATAAGCAGTCATTTATGTCACAGCATGTGTAATGCATTCAAATGAAAACATTTATTGGTTTCTACTAACTTGGTAGCAATTCCTGAAAACTACAACTGAGAAACAATTTAAGATTATATCCGGGCATTTGCTAGCACTCAAAGTACACTTGAAAAATATGCTGTGTGTATGTGTGTTTATGCATGCTCAACATCCCAACAGGATGGAGAAATGGAGAGGGGATTGTGGCATGACCATGCCCCATTGGGGATACTTTCTCCTTCTCTCAGGTGGGTGAGTTCATGTGACCTCTGACAATTAATAAAAAAAAAAATGCATTTGTTATACACAAGAAATGGAGATTCTGGAACAATGGTTTATTCACAAGAAATGCCAAAACATAACTTGCCCATCTATACTCTATCATTCAGTGGCCATTCATTTTACTCCTCAATTTACCTCAAATAAGACTGTGGGAGTTCAAAGTTATTAGTTTTGTTTATTTGTTTAGGTTTTTGCTATAGGGTGCATGTGCTCACTGGAGAGAGACAAAGAAGAAAAGTGAGAAATCACCCTGGGGGAATGGCCATGCTGTAATCCTTTCTCCTCCATTCCCCTCCTGGGATTCCGGGCATACACACACATGGCCCCAGCATGATTTTTCAAGTTGCCAAGTCCTGGCCTTGAACTGTGGTCAGCTACATGGGAGTCCAGTTGCTTAGCCACTATGTCACCTGCTGGACCCAGTTATCAGTTTTTTAAATGTCTCTCCTTTTAATATAATAGCTACTATTGTCAACATTTATCATCTTGGTAAAAATAAATAAATAAATAAATGGAACTTAACCAGTCTAACTTCATTTTCTACTTGTTTTTAATGGTTTAATAAGACTGCCCTGATTTATCTAAAAATGTCAACTGGTTTAAAAGAAGCTAAGCATCCACCTAGAGTATATAGACTCAGACACTCCAGTCCTTCATTTCATCACAACCCTAAAGACCCTTGAAAGCAACAGAAGTCACATAGCTTTGGGGGATATTTGTATTTAAAAAGCTTTCGGAGGGGGAATATGCTTAGAACTTCGCTCCCTACAGATGGTGAAAAAGACTAGTATATTAAATTTACTAATTTCTACTAACCAGTTATCAGATTCTCACTGGCAATTTATCTGAGAATACAAAGCATTCAGCAATAAATGATCCCATATTTTACCATCAGATATGTTCTTGCTTGAAGAAATGTGAGCCAACGAATCTCTTTAAAATTCAAATAATTCCAGATTTAAGAAATTAGAAGTATGTTTTGGGTTTATTATTTAAATCAAATAATCTTCATCTAAAACCCAATAGAAATGCAAACATGTGATACCGCCTCTAACAGTGTGATTAGGTGATGAGATTTATAGCCATGCAGATGGCAAATAATTAAAAAGGGTCAGAAAAAGCTAGACAAAAATTTAGCAAATGTTATGAACAAGAGATAGGCAGTCATTTATGTCACAGCATGTGTAATGCATTCAAATTAAAATATTTATTGGTTTCTATTAGCTGGCTAGCTAGTCCTGAAAACTACAACTGAGAAACAATTTAAGACTGTATCCAGGCATTTTCTTGCACTCAAAATTAGAGTCTGAAGCACTAAAACATAAAATGTCATTAAGAAAAATAGAAATTAAAAAACTAGTGTTTTTACTGATGCTATTATCAGCATATTCATCAATGCAATTAAGCTTCTAACCACCACACAATGTGTATCTTCCATACTGTGAAAGATATTCTTTTTTGTGTTTTGGACAGGGTCTCACTGTGTCGGGAGCCTTCTGCCTCAGCCTCCCCAGCAGCTGGGATCACAGGTGTCACCACTGAGCCCAGCTTTAGGCTGTAAGTTTTTAGAAGAGCTTTTGCCAACAGAATCCAAGTTTTTTCTTCATTCTTTTTTCCTCCTGGTTTTAACCATCCAGAACCACAAACAAAATGCACTCCAAAAATTATTTTTAATGTCTGTTTCTCTTTTCACAGAGATTTTTTTAAAGACAGTATAGAACTAAGAGAGCCATGAAAATGAATTTCAAAAGGCCCCAGCACTGGCTTTAGCCCAGGACAATGTGAGAGCTTCTCTTTTAGGGTCACTTACTACCATCATCTCCATAACTCATCTACCCAGAGTATCCAGAGATCCCCCATGTGTTGCACTTCCCGCTGAAAACGAAGTGAAGGGATGACAAGAAGTTAAATGGCAGTCATCATTAAGCTATAGGGACCACTGTCCGCCCTCAACAGAGGCCTGGACATGGCCGCCCTCAACAGAGGACTCCTGTCTGCTCCCAGTTTTCACAGGAGGGCCTGGATGTGAATATCACTGCAGTTAACCACCATTTGTCTGACAAAATCATTTATGAAATAGCAGTGGACGGGATGCAAAACATAAAAAGCCAACTAAAAAAAAGTAATTATGATGGGGGTTACTAAGTGTCATAAAGTAAGAAAATGACTGTGAAATGGCACATACCAAAAAGCATCACTTGAAATGGTAGTGAAAGTTACAATTAAAACAAAATCACAGTATCACTTACTCTTGCTTCATTCTGCTGCAGTTTTTCCTCCATACTTAAAGCTGTGGGAGAGTCTAAGAGAGCAATCTATGATTTAAACCACAAAAGAGACCAGTTGTTAATAAATAGCAATGATCCAAAGTAAAAACTCTTCCATGACTATAATAAATTCTCAAACATTCCAACAGAAAGTAGTAGTTAGATGTAAAAAGTGCCAATAATCACCAAGTCTTTAATCCATAGGATACGTATCTCACACTATTCAGAATTGTGGGGTCCTGGTAAACCTACACTTAAAATGCAAATTAGTAAAGTAAAGATGTGACATACCGACATTTTATTGTGCTAAAATCAAACACAACCTAAACCCCTAGATCTTAAGGAGTCTCTGTTTTGGGCATACACAAAGTACAATATTCAAAAGATTAAGCTGCATCAGTCTTGTCATCCACAGGCTTCTGAGATTCATTCAGGCTGACGCATGCAAATGAACCTGAGTTTAAATTGCTGGATAATGTTCCGTGCATAGCATGGCTACGCCTCAGTCTGTTCATCCATTTCTTTATCCATACTGCTGACGTGTAGTGATTGCCATGAGAATGATAAACACCAAAATCAGAACAGGGAGAGAAAGACTGGAAAGGAAAATGGAAGCAGACTGGGCTGCAACTGAACTCCGAACAGCTCAGTCACTGACCTGACTGGCAGAGATTGGTGCCCCGAACTATGTCTGCCTTTCTCGCTGCCTCAGGTGTCATTAAAAAGGAAAAAGAATCTCCCTCCTAAGCCCACCTACAGGCAAAAACTATTTCCCAATTTGTTGTGTACACTTACAGTTATTCTGGTCATATGAAAGCATGTTTTTGTTGTGTCTTTAAACATAAATTGCATAAAAACACTATTCTAAATATTGCCTTTTATACTCCACAGTATATGAAGGGTCTTTAAAAAATTAATGGAAAATATGTATTACTAAAACAATATATTTAAAAGTTCATTATAAATGAATTTCAAAATGTTTGCACCAAAATAAACTCATATTTTAATTTCATTTTTGAACTTTTTAAAGTCCCCTTGAGTCTGAAGAAAAACTCAGTAAAAATAAAACTATTTAACTTTTTTTAAAAATTTTCAGCTCCACTCTACACTATTCACTGTATGGATATTCTAGCATGTGACAGTACTCACTCATTCATGTAAATGTAATTTTCTCTAGTCTTTCATTTTACCAACAATGCTACAATGACTATCCTCACACAAACTGCTGACACTACACATGGCTAGATCAATAAAACACATTTCCAGAAAGAGAACTTGTGTCATCTGTATGTATATTTTTGTTGTTGCTTAATTACCAAGTTGTCCTGTGCAGAAGCTGTAGCTTTCTTTTCATTACTATTTACTTTCTCATTTCTATTCAAATGAAAGTATCCACAAGGCAGTCTCTGTAGGCTCGGTTAAACATTCAGACCAACAAGACTGTGGTGTGCCACACCTGGCCTTTCTGTAGGCAACAGAAGACAGAGCTGGCTGGCAGGGAGCACAGGGGTTAGTCCTGGGGGGTGAAGTCCTAAGTTCATCTATGTATTAGGACACTGGGAAAGTCATGATGTATTTTTCCATGTTTTTCTATGCAAAAAGGTATCATAATCTTCCCTAGCACCCAACAGTAGTCCTCACAAATGTCCAGGAGCTTTTATTGTCTTTAGTCCTCTTCAGTAGCTACTCACATGTAAGTGGTACCTGTGAAACCCACCTTGGTGTAGAAGTCCATGCCCACATGACCCAGCATCTCTGTAACATCTTATAGGTTCCCCAGATGGGACATCCAGTTACATACATCACTGCCTTCAGAGAAACTCAAAGCTATGGCTTAATCAGCCGGCACTTACAGTTTCTACAAGGGGACTTCAAAAAGTTCAAGGAAAATGGAATTCAAGTATGGGTTTACTTGGGTGCAAAAGATCTTTTGAAAGCCATGCAAAGTTTTCTCGTAATACATACTTTCTATGAACTTAAGTTCCCCCTCATATATACTCCATCCTGATCTAGATGTAGTTCACCAGTAGGGGCCATTTTCATCATCAGAAATGTTGCCTTATTATATAGCTGGCATCCGACTTTTATCTGGTTTCCAGAAAATGAAGCCGGAAAGGTAAATCAAGGTTAAATCCATTCTCCAGGAAGGAAAAGGAGATTGGTGATATACTGCTACAATGTATCACTCCATATAGCATGTCATCTTACACATAGATGGTGCTTAAATAGTTTTCATTGAAGAAATGAAAGGATCAGACATTAGTATGTACTGTATGGAAATGGTTGACAATTTTCAAAACAACCAGTGAGCTCCTTACGCATGGCTAATTTTGCAGAAACCCTTGCAGGGTTTTTATCTATAATCAAAGTTGCAACATCCTACCACATCATAAACTCAGTAATAATCACTGATTGAATATACGCATGAAGATTTATTATGGCTACCCAGCTTTTAGAAATTATTTTTGAAGTACATGTAAAGAAAGATCTGCCTAAGTCCTTTTAAAAGAGATGATTGGTAAAATGTAAACCAGTTTCAATTAAAGTATCCTCTGCTAAGGTATCTGTTTAGAAAAAAAAAAATTCAAGGTAAATAATATTCAGGTTAAGCTCACATATTGTTAAGCCAGAGTAATACTTCCTCAGAAGTGTAGCAATACCACTGTATACAAGCACCTCTTGCATCCCACCCTGCCAATGTACTGTACAATAGGGCTTTTTGATCTCTGCCTACCAAAGAGGTAAAAAGAACATCCCATTTCTCAACCTACACACAGTAAAAGACACAAATCTTAGCTTGATGTAGTATTTGTATGTGTGCACGTTCATTTCATTATTCTTAAAATTTGCATTTATTGAGTTTCAAATGACATTGGGCATGTTTTCATGTTTTTAGAAAGCCACTTTAAATTTTTTTCTATGAATTATACTTATGTTCTTTGTTCACTTTTCTGTTAGGTGTGATCTTTTTCTTTTTTTTTTTTAATAGAAGTTCTTTCCATAATAAGAAACGTAATCTTTTGTTGCATGAGTTGCAACCTTTCTCCTGATTTGTATTAATTAAAGCAAATTTTCAGTGTATTACTATAAATATGCTATGTCCTTATTTATTTTTGTCTATGTAAGCTCTCACAGAATGAGAGTTAAGTTTTCTGTGACAAATGTGAGTGGTTCTTACTCCTGCTACTTCCAACAGTTTCGTTGGTTTTTCCCTTTATAAAAGTTGATGCCACGTTTGATTTTAATTGTAAACACACTCTTTGTTGTGATACAGTGTTCTTTTTTTTTTTAAGCTCACATAATACTGCTCTGGACCTTTTTCTTTCCTCTTGAATAACCTATGAAGCTTTTGCCTATTTTGACAAATATCACATATTAGGTCGTTAGAAAAGTCATGATGTATTTCTCTATGTTTTTCTATGCAAAAATACATCATGACATTTTTGATAATTCAATAAGTTTTACTTTGTGACTCTGAGATATGTCAATTTTATAAATTTATATATAATGATACTTGTATAATTTAAACTTTATCTTTGACTCCAGCCAGGAATATGAATTCATTCTACTTCCATTTTTACTTCCCCACTGCATTCTTTGCTTCCTAATTTTTGTTGCTTATTTTGTTTTTATATTGCTTAATTTTCTTCTCGTCTCTAGATACATTCAAGAGAAATGAGAGGTCAACTATTTTTCTTTTCCAAATTAAAAGCAACAATATCTGAAATATCTGAAAATACATTCAATATAAGAAAACACTTGGAAAAATATCCAAATGCTCAACCTCATTAATCATTTGATAAGGCAAACTAAAATCATTGATATTGGTATACACCCATCAGAATGGTTACAATAAAAAGCTAACAATACCAAATGTTGACAAGAATCTATATCATATGAAATTTTCAAAATCACTTTTAAAAATTATCTGGCAGTGTCTATCAAAACAGAAACTTCTGGCCCACCAACTCTACTGTTAGGCATAAATCTAACAGAATTATATATGTTCACTAAAAGATATGTAGATACAAGCCCATAACAGCACTAATATCTCTTAAAAAAAAAAAAAAAAGTCCCCAAATACCCATTAAAAATAGAACGGACATGGGACCAGCAGGTGGCATGGTGATTAAGGTACTGTATACTCCTACATGCCTGACCACTGATCAATACCACCAAAGACATTCTTCAAAGAGAAATCAGTACAAGTTTTAGTAATTTAAAGCTTTTCTATGTGTTAAGGCTCCTTCCAAGCTCAGTTAGTTTAAAAGGGAAGACCTGTCTTTCATTCGCTTTTTCTCTTAAACCAGTGTTAAGGGACTGACCACTGTTCAAGTCTTTAACCCGGTGGCTTGCCTTCTCACTCTCTTTCTCTATGTCTCTCTTTGGTCAAATTAAAATAAATAAATAAATAAAATTAAATAAGTAATTATTAAAAAAAAAAAACAGACAAAAGAATAGTGACAGACTTGTATGATGGAATAAAGCATAGCAACAAGAATAAATGGATCCAGGGAACCAGCAGTTAGTGTAATGGCTATGTCGCTGGACTCCCACATAGTCGACCACGGTTCGCGTCCCGGACCCGATGGCTTAAAACTCACGTTAGGCGCGTGTGCATGCATGTCCAAGATCCCGAGAGGAGAATGGAGGAGAAGGGATTGTGGTGTGACATCCCCCCTGGGGGGTGATATCTCGCTTTCTGTCTCTATGTCTCTCTCTGTCTGTTTGGCGAGCGCACGCGTCCTATAGTGAAAAAACCTCTCCAAAAAAAAAAAAGAAGTGTAGGCAGTTCCTGGAAGGGACCATCAAGGAGGATTTCTAGTACTGGTACTGTTCTGCTTCTTAGGGTGAGTGCAGGCTAGAGCCAGTCCAAACACTCAACTATACACGTATAACTCATAATTTTTCTGTACATATAAATATTTAATAAAAATTCATATATATGACTTCAAAAGGCTCATGAAAAATGGAAGTTTATTTGGATGAAAATAAAAATGCTGAAATCCTTGCAGTTTTTCATTTTTTTCCATAACATGCATTTTCCATGAAATTTTTGAAGACTGTGTGTGTTTTATATATATGTACACACACACATACACATACTATATGCATATCCATATTTCTGTATCTATGTAGATAAGAAGTAAATACATGTTGGAATCCTTTGCTTTATTAAAACTGTACTTCTAAAGTCTGATACACATGATTTTGCAATAGTGAGTACACATAGTTCTTAAAAAGTTGATTTTTATTTAGCTGTGCTTAAATAAATAACCCTAGAAATGAAACTTTGATTTGAGTAACATTCTCAATGAATTGTGGCAGAACTAGAATAGTCTATGAATAGAGCAATGTGCTCAGAAAAAAATCTAAACACAGATTTTTAATGGGCATTTAAGAACACCTGCTTATTTTACTAAGCATTACAAATTTAATTAATTTAAAATAGGCCCATATTGTCTCACAACAATTAAGAGCTTCATAGTGTGATAAATTATTTTAAATTAAATTCTCATTTTTATTGTAATATATTAAGTATACCAAAGATTTTTTTTCATCGATGTGTTCTAAAATAGACTTAATGTCTTTTCTATCCTCACCCCAAACACTATAGCAATGAAAATACCCCTTTAATTAAAGCAGTGGTCTTTGAACATGAAAGAAATAAGAAAAAAAAATCACAAAATACGAGACAATTATTTGACATAGCAATACCACTGAAGACATTCTTCAGAGAGAAAGTACAAGTTTTAGTAATTTAAAGCTTTTCTGTCTATGTGTTAAGGCTCCTTTCAAGCTCGGTAAGTTTAAAAAGGAAGACCTGTCTTTCATTTGCTCTTTCTGTTAAACCAATGTTAAGTACAAGAAGTTATATCTAGAATTTTCCAAATACTTTCCCACATACATAGAAGTCTGAGTGAGCAATAGGTGGCATATGCTCACTGGAGAGACAGAGAAACAGAACTCAAGACATCACCCTTCAAGGGGTGAGGCCATGTTGTAATCCCTTCTCCTCCATTCTCCTCTTGGGATTTTGGGTGCACACACACTCGCACATGGTGTGAGTTTCAAGCCTCTGGGTCTGGCACTTCAAACCGCAGTCAACAATATGGAGTCTAGCACCTTAATCACTATGCCACCAGCTGGCCCCCTATCAAATCATCTTAAAGTGCTTACTTTAGATAAGTAATATTTTAAAAACATTGAAATAAGATCCCAACAGCAAGATATATAAACACAAATGACTACTCTGGTTCATACAAGGGCCTGAGAACATCACCTACCACTGAACTATTCATAGCTACCACTTCCTCATAATAAAGGGGTATGTGTGTGGAGATACTTTTAAACACAGTGAACAATTCTTATTCCACTGTTGTTTACCATTTTGTGAGAAAGAACTGTCAAGTGTGTTTCAGGACACATGAAATTCAGTGAGGTGTTTGTCCTGTCGGTATTTTCATAGATCATTCCATTTAAGGGGTGTCAAGTGCTTCAAGTGCTACATATTCCAGCGTGGAAAGCTCTGTTCAAGAGACCTCTTTGCATTGAAAGAAAAGTACTTCATTTAATGACAGAATTTCAGACATCCATTCAGGGGTTAAGAAAACGAGTAAATGCATCTACTTTATTTCAAACTGCAGTCTAACATTTTAAAAGCTATCTTTGATTTTCCCTCAAGGTTTTCTTTACAACAGCATCTAACTTTGACTATTCATCAATGTACACTGCATAGGCTGTAAGGAAGTTAACTGTGAAAAACACAAAAGAATGAGGCTTCTTCACTAGAATTCTAACTGGGGACCCCAGTGAGGTCATTTGAACAACAAAGCAAGGCCTCAAAGACACACTTCAGCCAGCCTGGAGGTGTAACATACATGCGTCTCTGAGTCACCATACCCACCTCTATCATGGGCCATCTGAAGCAGAGATTCAGAAAGGTGTTCAAACAAGTCTTTTACTGTTAAACTACATTTTAAAGTCACAAAACACACGGGCAGAATTTTAAAACGTTACTCTAAGCATCTCAATTTCTTTCCACTATCTGTCACTAATCCTATCACATGCTAAATTTCCATCCATAATTGATAACTATTAGTTAATCATTTCGCATTTAGTAGATAAAATCTTATACCCGAAGACATAATGAATGCAAAGGCCAATGGGAGGCTGCTGTGAAGGCAAGACTGGCTAACTCATTCAAAGCTTTACTTAGCACTTATTTACTCAAATCAATGCCGTGAGTGAGATAATTGTCTCATTACAATCTAGAAATAGATGCCATTACTCAAAAAATATTATCCATAAATCTAAAAAAAAAAAAAGAACTCAACCTGATTTCCTTGAGCAAGCAGCATTTTCAGTCTGGCTATTTCAGCTCGCAGCTCACGGATGAGTTTGACATTGGCGTCCTCATTAATGGTAGGCTTGTTGATGATGTTTTTGGCTCTATTTGCATAGCGAAGAGTACTTAGGGTTTCTCCATAATTGACATCAGCAGGTGAAATGGCTGAGAAGAATGAATTCAAAAAATAATTTATCTAGCACTCCGTGTTTCATTTAACACAAAGTTGGTTTGTAATTTAAAAGTCAGATTAACCCCAGGTCATTGGAGAGACTAAATATTCATTGCTACAGTAATGAATATTAAAAATTACCCCCGATTTATAGGAAAGGGTGCTCACTCTACCAAATTAAATGGCATTCTGCTCTTCTCAAGTCTAGAATCAGCCACCTAACAAACTCTAAAATGAGATAAGAGATATGCGAGTACGGTTAGGGAGTTTTTTCCCACTGAAATATAAGAAGAGGATTTCAAAATTATTTAAACTTCTTGATATTAAGTTGGAATTGAAGTACTTTTTTAAAAGAATTATTTAATTTTATTTGTCATTATTATTATTTTTTAATGTGCTTCAAGGCACATGCGCTCACCAGAGATAGAGAGAAAAAGCAAGCTGCCAGGTCCAGGACTTGAACCATGATTGGCCCTCTAAGTCTAGTGCCTTAACCACCATACCACCTGTTGGCTTCGGGGAATTAAAATACTTTTAAAAGTCTGGCAAAACTTACTATCTGTAAAAATCCAGAGTATAATAATTTTTAATAAGAGTCAGTAGATCAGTTAATTCTTAGTTCACTATAGAGCACGAGCACTCACTAGAGAGACCCAGAGGGAGACAAGGAAAATGAGGAATCACACCCCAGGAATATGGGCCATGTAGCAATTTTTTCTTCATTCTCCTCTTAAGATTTTGGGCATCCATGCACACCCACCCAGCATAATTTTTCAAGCCAAAGAGTCAAGACTCACAACCGTGAAGTTGGCCCTGTGGAACCAGCTGCCTTAACCTTCACACCACCTGCTGATCCAATTATTTTCTTCTTAAAGCTTTGGTTAATCTCATCCCACGGCTGCCACCAAAATTAAGGGTTTAGGTGATTACAATTGCATCTGGAGCATATACTCCAGAGCAGATTCCTTGCCTCCATCATTCACAGATGGAATTGAGGTTGGGGAGGACAGAGAAAAGGAGAACAGGAAGAAGACAGAGGAAGAAGGGAGAGCAAGCAGAGTTAGGAGGGAAACAATTCTTGAGAGCTCCTCAACAACGATCTCTTCTTTCTACATTTTCTTCCCCTATTCTGCACTGTTCAAGGAATTGGTCAGAATATAGAAATAAAGTATACTACTATTACTATTTATCTTGTTATTTTTCTCTTCATTTTTAATTTTAAAGTCTACACTAAGCATTTCAAATAAACAAAACAAAGTTGGGTTATATTCACTATTATTTCCTTTGAGATTAAAAACAAATCATTATTTTTTAAGGTATAAAAGCTGGCACTCAGGTCAACAGGTAGCATGGTGATTAAGGCACTGGACTCCCACAAAGCCAATCATGGCTCAAGTTCCAGATCTGGTGGCTTAAAACTCATGCCAAGTACATGTGCATGTGTGCCCAAAACCCTCAGAAGAGAATGGAGAAGGAACTGAGGTATGGCCATCTTCCCTAGGGGTAATTTCTCACTTTTTCTTCCTCTGTCTCTCTCTGTGTCTCCGGCAAGCACACATACCCTTTAGCAAAAATCCCTCTTAAAAAAAAAAAAAAAAAAAAAAAAAAAAAACCCTCTTTAAAAAAAAAAAAAAAATCACCTGCTGGCACAGTGACTAAGGCTATGGAATCCTACATGGCCAACCACAGAGTCCTAGACCTAGCAGCTTGATCACACCAAGTGCATCTGTGTGTGCCCAAATCCCAAGAGGAAAATGAAATAAAAGAGACTGCAGTGTAGCCAGGGTAGTGATTTCTTACTTTCCCTCTTTCTGTCTCTCCCTGGTGAGCACACATGTCATATAGCAAAGGAAAACAAAAACAAAAACAAACACAAACTGGCATTTAACGCAACAAGATCCCACACAGCCTACCGTGCGGTTAGAGTACCAGATTGAGTGATAAAAGACATGCTGGGCGCATAAGCATGCATGCCCAAAATCCCAGGAGAAGAAGAGAGGAGAAGGGATTGAAGTGTGACCACTCTCCACAGGAGAGGAATGCTCTCTCACTTTTCTTCTCTCTTTCTCTGTCTTACCAGCAATCACATGTGCCCTCTAGCAAATTAAAACAATAAATAAATACATTTTTTTTAAAAGCTGCTATATCTTTTTTTTTTTTGGAGAGGTTTGTGCTATAGGGCATGTGTGCTCGCCAGACAGAAAGAGACAGAGAGATAGAAAGCAAGAAATCACCCTCCAGGGGGGATGGCCACGCCGCAATCCCTTCTCCTCCATTCTCCTCTCAGGATCTTGGGCACACATGCACACGTGCCCAGCATGAGTTTAAGCTGCCGGGTCCGGGACTCGAACCACGGTCAACTACGTGGAAGTCCAGCGACATAGCTATTACGCTAACTGCTGGTCCCAAAAGCTGCTATTTCTTAAAAAGATGCTTTAATCTTAAATACTGATAGTTAATTCACAGGAAACACTGTATGCTCAGGAAAATAACGTAAAAGTCTTACTAGCAATCATGATAGTTTTAGAGTTTCCTCCAAGGCTATCTTTTAACAACCAAGTCAAAACAGAATCCCTGTAAGGCACAAAAACTTGCTTCTTCTTTACAAGAGGGTTTGCTGCATCCTGAGATAAATCGGCTGTAGGAAGAAAAAAAAGGGGAGGGGGAAGAAAGGACAATTATTAAAGGTTTTTATTTTCCCCCCTCTAATTTCACTTCAAAAAACCTTGAGGATATTATTTAGATTTGTAGCCCAAGCATTAAACATAATTGCTTCTTGCTAACATGGAACCAGGAGGCAAAGAAAAGAGGCAGGAGATGAACGCAAACCTACCTAAGGCAGAAATGACATTTCCCAGGGTCACAAGGGATTTGTTGATGTTTCCCCCTTCTTTTAGTCTAACCCCAGTGGCTCCCGTGGCATCTGCTCGCTCACTTCCAGCAAGGTCAACCAAGTGGATCTTACTCACAGTTTCACACGGCATTTCTGAATCAAACTTTGCCTGTGGTAAAATATAAAATTGAAGAGCTACAAAGGACTCTGATGTTGTGTATAATACAAATTGTAATTATTTTCCACTTTTCACCGAGATCTCTCAGGGTAAATTTTTTTTTAAATTTTGTTGTTCTATTGGCCTCCTTGCTGACTATAACAACTTCTAAAATTAAATTGATACCATAAAAATCTACCATATATGAGTCTTAAACTTTCTGAAGAGTCATTCTTTTACTCAGATCACTCAGTCATTCTCAACAAAGTCCTACTGAATGGAAGTGAGGAGAATATTAAATTGGGTAGAGAGGATCTCTGAATTACAATAACAAAAATATAAGGAAGTGAATAACTGGCTTTATGCTCATATATTAGGTTGTCAGAAAAGTCATGACCTATTTCTTCTATGCAAAAATGTGTCATGACTTTTCCAATGACCCAACAGAATTTCCAGCATTCCAAGCACAAAGGCTCTCCAAATATATAAATGTTGACAATAATGTAAAAGATCATTTGACCATTATCTGCTATTAAAATAGCTTGTTTCACAAATTATAAAAGCATGTGAAATCTAGGCGCCAGCAGGTGGCATGGTGGTTAAGGGTGCTGTACTCCCACACAGCTGATAGCAGTTCAAGTCCCACAGCTGGCCGCTTGCTTTTGAACCCCCCACCACTCCATTCCTCTCTGGTCACATTAAAATAAATAAATAAAGTTAAATTAAATAAGTATTTTAAAAAAAAGTAAAATCTTAAAGACTATATCCTGTGCTTCTGAATTCTACCAAAATTTTATTTTCCCAAAGACATTAAACCTACATTTTACATGTTGAACCAAAATACAAAAACAAGTTACCATACTCTGATAGAAATGTAAATCTCTTAGAAACTGTATGAAGGGTCTTCAAAAATTTTATGGAATCCAGACAGGTGGCCATGTCAGTGGCAAAATGAACTGTAGTGCTGGAAGCCACATGGCCAACCATGAGTTCCCATCTCTGGGTCAGACTGAAACACACCAGGTTGGCACCAGCAGTTAGCATAATGGCTGTGTCACAGAACTCCCATGTAGTCAGTCGACCATGGATCAAGTCCCAGACCTGGTGCTTAAACTCATGCTGGACGCATGTGCGTGCATGCCCAAGATCCTGAGAGAAGAATGGGGGAGAAGGCATTGTGGCGTGGCTATCCCCCCTGGGGGGTGATTTCTCTCTTTCTATCTCTCCGTCTCTGTCTTTCTGGCGAGCGCATGCACCCTATAGCAAAAACCTCTCAAAAAAGAAAAAAAGAGAAGAAAAAAGAAAAAAGAAAACCACGCCAGGTACACGCACACATCCCAAAATTCTAGGGAGCAGGGCTGGGGAAAGGGTATCACAGAGTGATGAAACCCTGTCAAAGGCACTTCTCTTGCACATGCTTGTTTACGTGTGCACACACACTATTGTAAATAAAAGTAACTTTTTTAAAAACTTGATAGAAATGAACTTTTATTATGAAAAACTACACATAGTTTTCAAAAATTTGTGCACTAAAATCAACTTGTTTACCATAAGGATCAGTAGAGATATAGTGCTAAAATGTAATGTCATTATTTAAATTTCATTTTTTTCTATGAACTTTTTTAAGTCCTCTCTAGCTGATCATATATACCCCAATCCAGCATTAACCAGAAAGCAAGAAAAGGGGCTAGCAGGTGGCATGGTGATTAGGGCACTAGACTCCCACATGGCTGACCACAGGCCCAGAACTGGCAGCTTGAAAATCACTCCGGGCACAAGTAGTGCATGCCCAAAATCCCAGGAGGAGAATGAAGAAGGAATTGCAGTGTGGCCATCCCCCCGGAGTGAGAGATTTCTCATTTTTCCTCCCTCTGTCTTTGTCTCTCTGCAGCAAGTGCATAAACCCTGTGGCAAAAATCCTGGGGGGGAAAAAAAAAAAAACTTTAAAATTTTTTAAAAATAAATAAATAAAAAGCAAGAGACAAAATTATAAACTACAGTAAAGAATCTAATAAAAGATAAAGATGTGGAGAACTTCAGGACAGTTACTTTGACTGACCAGAGAGAACTTTCTAATTTCTTGCTCTGATTCCACTCATTAGTAAAAAGCCGTCTTTCTGTATCTGATGTGCTCGACTGTCAGCAAGGGTGGAAGCACCCCCATATTCCTAACAGATGCTTAAGCCATGAGAAGACTACACATTTTTGCACTCATCTATTCTACTGGCCTAAGGGTTAAAATATTTATCCTCAAAAATTTCCACATATATTCAAGAAGTAATCCAGTTTTTTTCTCCCCCCTCTCTTCCATGACCAAGAAGAACACAGAAACAGAGGCAGGCACCTCTAACAGAGTCTTCACACCACACCACTGCCCACCCTCAGCTTTGTCTGCCATGGGTCATAGACACACGCACACGGAGTGTTCAGGGAAGTCTCTGGATGCAAACCCAGAACCAACCCATATGAGTCTGACTCAGAGTGTTGCATTAACCGCTGTGCCACCATCAGGCCTCACTCTACTTCTTGATTATAATGAATTCTTGCATTTGTACTCATAAGTATTCATTGTCCTTTAATATAATTCTAATAATTATAATCAACATTGGAGGGTAAGCTCCATGGAGAGATAATGTACTATACTGAATTACTCACCTTGGCCTCCAGCTGGTCTGACTGGCAATCCATTATCTCCCACAGAGCTTGCAACAATGAAAACTTTTGTTTAATTAAGCACAGAACAAATTTTTTTGTGTCTAGAACAGGTTGGAAGCCTGCTAAATATTTCTTAAGGGTATACATCAGGACATTTCAAATTACTGTGATTGTAACCACAGAGAAACTCAGCACACAGCATGTGTTCAACTCTAATTAACAAGAAAATGACAGTCAGTCACCTTTGCCTGATGCCGCGCCTGGCCCAACAATGATCGGTCCTCAGCTGCTGATAATCAACAGGAAAAGACTTCAGGGATGAAGCCAGCTGGCCCCACAGCTGCCCTTACCTGAGTAAACTTTATGGTGAAGATAGCATGAGACCTGCTACTGACATCATTCATTCCAGTGGCTGCTGTGGTACGGTTGATATTCCCTGCATCCATGAGTTCTTCCACGTCACCATAGTTCTGTACCAAATGTTTGGATAAATCTGGTAAAAAAGAATAGAGGAAGGTGTGAAGAAATCCCCTAATACATAGTAAACAGAATAAAAATCTTTCCTCTATGAAATAATACATACCTCTACAAACCTGCTGCCCTAAAAAGGTCTTACTTGTTTCTGCAGTATGGTGGTATACAACAGACTCAAGAGCTGGGCTGCTAGGATCCCAGCTCTACTGCTTACTACCCACAGACTAAAACAATTAACAGAGAAGAAGGTCAGCCTCAATAGGCCTCATTACTCACCTGAGAATGTGTACTTACCAGTTAAGGTACATACGATAAACATTAGCTATCACTGTAAACCTTGCTAGTAGCATTCACTATAGCACATAGAAACAATGCCTTCATGCAAACCCAAAAGCATTGTCTAAATACTTTGAATTAAAAACATTTTCTGTTCAATCTGTTGTATTGTTTCAAAGTTAAAGGCTACCAAAAGTATACTGTGTAAAGAGTCCCCTCCATCCATAACCTATAACACCCGCCTTCTCCTTCTGAGAGCAACCAAACACCATCAGTTTCTCCACACTCTTCTTAAAATAACTCATACATACACAGTCAACTTTCTCACTTTTCTTAGAAATTATAACATAGCACAAACATTATTTTGTATCTTTCTATGAAATAATTTACTAAAGAATATTCCGTATCAGTTAAGGTGATTTCTCACTCATTTTTATTTTTTTTGAGAGGTTTTCACTATAGGGCGCGTGCGCTTGCCAGACAGACAGAGAGAGACATAGAGACAGAAAGCGAGAAATCACCCCCCAGAGGGAATGGCCACGCCACAATCCCTTCTCCTCCATTCTCCCCTCGGGATCTTGGGCACGCACTCACGCACACATGCCCTGCGTGAGTTTTAAGCCACCGGGTCCGGGACACAAACCGCGGTCGACTACATGGGAGTCCAGCGACATAGCCATTACACTAACTGCTGGTTCCCCCTCACTCATTTTTAAAGCTGCAAAGCATTCAACTGTATGCAAGAACAGTACCAATTTAACCAATCTCCTACTAAAACTGAAGAGGTTGTTTACATTTTGTTTCCAATTACCAGTAATGCTACTACAGATAATCTTGTACATAGGTCTTTTCAAAAGTTTGTGAATGCCTTCTACAGAAGAAATTCTAGAGATGGAACTGTTAGATCAAAGGACACTTGAGATTTTGATAGCTATTACAAAACTGTACTCCATGCAGTACAATTTACACCCAGCAGTATCAATGTATAAGGTGAAAGTCTTCTAACAACCTACCCAACACTGTCTTAATGGGCTTATTTACATCTGCCAAAGCTGGGTGATAAATCTTATTTCAAAGTATTTTTATTTTATATTTCTCTCATTCTGAGTGAGGCTGAGCATTTTTCTATTTGAAAATCATCTTTCTCCATTTAAAAATGATCAGTATTTACATTTCTGTGAAGTTATTAATACTATTTATTTTCTACTTTGTTGAATGTGTTCTTATTGACTTATAAGAGCTTTTTCTATATTAAGAAAATTAGCTTTCCATATAAAATGTAAATTAAAAATAATTCCCTCATTTTATAATAAAGTTTTTAACTTTCCTGTGTTTCTATCAAGTATAAAGGGGGTTTTTTTATTTTAAATTTAGTATCTTTTATGGTTTCTGAGTTGTAAGTCAAATCTTCAAAAGCCTCCCCTCCTCGATGTTTCTGGAAAAAATTAACTTATCGATCCTTGTAGTCATTTATTATTTCATTTTTTACATGTCAATCTTTGATCCATTTACCACTCATCCTGGGGTATTCTGAGGTTCAATATAACTTTACTTTTTTTTTCTCCTAGACATGTTAGTAATCCATAATTCCTTATGTTTGAATAACATACTTATTAGAAACTAAATCCCCTTAAGCACTAGATCAGACTCTAGATGCTTCACCTTGTTTGATTATTCTGTCTCTTCATACACTAGTTTTATACATTTAAACATTTGACAGACAAAGAGAAAACATGAAGACACACAGGCTAAGAACTATTAATAATAATAGCTATCCCAGATACCACAAAACTACAAACTGAACTTTGTTTTGGACACAGAAAGCAAAAGTTCAAGAGGAAATTTAATAAAAATCAGTAGGTACAACTGATTTTTCCAGGTAAAAAGATGTCAAAAAAAGAAGCCTCTTTAAACCCTAACCAGTTCTGTCTTGCCTCCAATGAGATACGCACAAAGGATGCCATCCACACAACAGTCCATCTCTGTGTGTGATTCCTGTAGGTCCACCATTACTTAGTTACTTATGCAGAAAAAGTGACATTAGCTTCATCACAAGAAATAGTCTTACTTTTTTTAATTTCCAGAGGGTGCCTGTTCTAGCCACCTCAATAAGCCCACTCAGAGTGCTCTCCTCCATTTCTCTATCCCATCAGGAACTGGGGCACACACATGCACCCAGCATGCCTCCTAAGTCACCATGGCTGGAATTCAGATAGCGGTCAGTCACGTAGGATCTGGCTTCCTCTGCACAGCACTAAACCACTGTCCTATGGGGCCAGATCCAATGATACCCTTAAATCCAATATATTTTTTAAATAATTAGCAAGGGCCCATCCTTTACCCATCATAATGTGTGGCATTCCCCACAGCTAAATGTACTACACAATGTGTCACAACAAAGTTGCTGAGAATCACACATAGTAAATCCTGTAAACACTCTTCTTCACAGGCAAGAGGTCCTAGAATGCCTTTATTGTCACATATTACATTTAAATCAGCAAAGATATACTGCTAAAACGCAACACCATTTAAAGGTATTGTTAAAGTCAGGTTCTAGGCTTGCTTATCTTGCTTGAGAACATCAGAAAACAAATTTCTAGAAATTTCTTAAAACTAGAGGAAATCTACTGGCAAACCTCACAAAATCAATGAAAACCTAGCAAAGTATGAATTCTTTAAATAAACACTGTGTAGTGACAACTCATGCCATTTTTACTATAATAAAATTACAGAAATAAATCTTTTAAACCACACCATTATGCTTTCTTAGAAAGTACTATGTAGGAAAGTACAGTATAAGAAACTGTAACTAGAGAAAAAAGACAACTGAGAGAAAATATTTGTAAATTATTCTTCAGAAAAGGGATACTTAAAAAAAAAAAAGGGAATAATCCAATTTAAAAATGGGCAAATGAACTAAATAGATAACTCTCCAAGGAAGACTCACAACTGACCAAGAGTCATATGAACAAATGTTCAAAATCTCTTATCATAAGGGAAATGCAAATTAAAACTACAATGAAATATCATTTAACTCCAGTTATAATAGCTAGGATCCAACAAATAAAGACAGTTGTTGCCAAGGCTGTGGTGAAAAGGGAACTCTTTTACACCATTGGTGTGAATGTAAATTAGTCCAACTTCTATGGAAAACAATATGGAGGTTTCTCCAAAACTTTCAACTTCTATACGAACCAGTAATTCCACTTCTTAATAGCTACCCAAAGGATAAGAAAGCAAAATTGTTAAGGCATCTGCACATCTATGTTTACTGCACCATTATTTATAATTCCTGAAACATGGAACCAATGTCAGGGTCCAAAAACTGATGATTGGCACATATAAACAGTGGAATATAACATAGCTATAAAACACAATGAGATCCTATTGTTCGAATCAAAATGAATGAATACAGAAGATTTACTGTTGAGAGACTTTGAAAGCTACACATTTTATATCCTCACCCAATTTTTACTGAGTGTCTGTATTTTATGGTAGAGGTTAAGAGATATGAAGAAGTGATGCTGGATAAGACAGGCATGGATGACAGTGATGGTAATGGGGAAAAGTGGTTGGTGGAGAGTGGTTGGTAGATAGTGGGAGAGAGGAAAAAAATATTTAGACAGTCATGTTTGCTCAAAAGTGTTAGTTTCATGAATGCTTTAACAAATTATGAAGGTTCAAGTGCAAATAATGTTTGAAGACTATAAATGATAAACTTATGTTTATAAGAGAAAAACAAAAACTTTGTTTTCGTATTGTCTAGAGATAGCTCACTCTAGTATATTATCTTTTAACTTATTTGTTATCAAAAGAGCACTTGGCCTAAAAGAGAGGACTAATGTGCAAAATGTTCACTCCCTTTTGTGAAATGGTAGTTTATCATTAGTTTATATCTGTAAGTTATTATTACACATATTATCTATGTATCTGCTACCTACAACTTCAGACGTTAAAGCTTGTATCTGTGAATTTGCAACTGAAATTTATTTTGCCAGTGTTTTCTGAAGGAGCTAATAAAGTTCACAAGTTCCCAAAAAGAATAGAGATGTAAAATATTCTCTCTTACCCTCAACATAAGGTCCTTCTTTCGGATGCTCACGGACTCTTAAATTGAAGGTTTTCGATGACTTTCGCCTAAGCAGATCTCTCACACGTTCATTATAAATTTCTAAGTAGCTAAAAATTTTAAATAGAACTGAATTCAGAAAAATTATTTCAGACATTAATAACAACAGCAATATTCATAACAACATCATCACAGACTATGAGAGGTAGCAATGCATCAGTGTTATGCTTAGTACTTAGTAGAGTATTTCATTGAGTCCCTCTAATAACCCAAATGTAGATACTGCTATTTTCCTGTTTTAAAGGTTAGGCAAGGGAGGGTTAAATAACTCATCCACGGCCAAACAGTCATCAAGCAGCTGGGAGTACCACATTACTATGTCTGTCTTCAAAACTACTGAAGAGACTAGCTCCTCACACAGCTTTTCTTTTACAAAAGAAAAAAGCCCCTCAACATCCAGTTTTACTTATATATTAGATTTATGGTGACCCTACCAACATAAAGAATAATACACACCTTACTCAGCGGAAAGAATGAGGCAAGTAACTGGGTATACACTTAACGTCAAAAGCTCACTCCATTTGAGATAAACAATTTCTGTTACAGTTACTGACCAAGCTGTGTTATTTCTCCCAGCCTCCCAAATCCTTAACCAAACTGCACCCAAGACGGTCTTAGTGAAAACTTAGTGTTTTAAGTTTATTCCCAACTACCAGAGGTACAGGCAGAGAAAAAGGACAGATTCTTTTTTTGGAACACTAAAAGCTTTATCCATTCCTGTACCTACAAGCAAGCCCAGCAGCACTGGCTCATAACCAAGTTTATGCTTAGTTACTCAGGTCAGGAGCTCTACCTGACTTCAGTCCTAAAAGATGCTTCATCCCATCTGGTGGTTTCATTTATCCGACTGAAGAGTCCTTCACAGATCCGAGGTATCAAGCCAGAATCACCCTGACAATGGAAAGAAGGAATGTCATTGCTGTCACTTGAAACAAGAGCAACTGATGACTGACTCCAAACACACCATTCACCCACTCCAGGTCCACTTCTTACTCTTCAAAATGCTTTCTACATGCTGGGATCATGGTAATGCATGGCTATCAATTGTTAATTAAATCATACTTTCCAAACATAAGGAGACTTATTCTCTGTCTTTCAAACATTTGTTATTCTACAGTCTAAACCTGTAAAATAAATGTTAAAAGTATCTTGTCAAATAACCAAAAAATGTGAATATATACCAGGTAGAAAGGACACCGAGAAAGCCTGAGTAAGCCTTCAAAATAGTTAATATTTTTAAACTGAAGTGATTGGACACATTAAACATATATACCTCCCTCCTTTGATACAATCATCCCTACACTGGCCTTCCTAGACAGGAAGGTTTTTTGTTTTTTTGTTTTTTTACATTTTTGCCAAAGGGCATGTGTACTCACTTAAGAGGGAAAGTAAAAAATAACCCCTTAGAGGATAGAGCCACACCACAATCCCTTCTCCTCCATTCTCCTCTCAGGATTTGGGGCATGCACACACATGTGGCCAGTATGATTTTCAAACCACCAGATCTAGGACTCAAACAATGGTAGGCCATGAGGGAATCCAGCACCTCAACCACCATGCCACCTGCTGGACCCACAGTTAGATTTTAATGCATCATATTACTTCTCCAGCGTTGGCATAATACTCAATAATATTCATTTTTCACTCAGCACTAGCAAGCTGATAAATCTCAAAATGATACTAAAGATCAAGCAAAATGTCCCTGCTAGAAACCAAAACTTCAGAGCTTCAGTGTTTTTTCTCAAGTCTGTTCCCACTTTCACCCAACTCCACACCCTGAAAACATCCTACTTGAAGATTGTTTTTTCCTTTGTACTATGAAATCAGAACCAATTCTTTTTTTTCTTTTCTTTTTTTTTTTTTTTTTTTTTTTCTATCGGGGGTTGGGGGTTCACAGAGGGCACGAGAGG